TAGTTTTCTAATAGTGGTCTGCACATGTCCCATTTTGACAGCTGTCAATTGACCTTAATTTGGCTTGCCAATATATCTTTAAATGATTGTCAGCCAACTGACAGCCTTGCCCGGTGTAGTTTTGTTTTTATGTTGAATTGGTAAGTGTGACATATTATATGCGCTTATATGTAGGGGCAAAACGACTGGTCTTTCATCTGAGCCCACGAGATAGTCATGTGATAATTGTCAGTGGATGCCTAATTTTGACGGCTGTCAATCTAATCGTACTCATACGGATGGCTTACATAACTAAGAGGCGAGTCAAGTTGTACAAGATCCTTGGTGACATTTGACATCGGCTTACATTAAGCGTGTGTACGGGTGGGCGGGCAGGCGGGCGTACGCTATGTCATAACCAAATTTTCTCAGATGGATAGTTTACCAAATTTTCTTACCCATGGTGCTCCGCTCTGCGCACGCTTTGCGCGCGTGAGGAGCTCCGCTACAACTCTAAGCCATGGTTTTTAGGGACAGACAAGATCAGTCTTTGAAAGGCGGTTTATGAGCATAAAACCTCCATACAGAATTACCAGAACACCCAGAAGCATAATAGCTAATATGGCTCACCTCAAGGCATCTGAACTGCGGTCATTCATGTTAATTTATGGCTTGCCAAGCCTTTGGGGCTTACTTCCTAATAAATACTTCCAGCACTTTTTATCGCTCGTAGATGCAGTGTTCTTGCTTTTTCAGGATTCAATATCCCTTGATCAACTTAGTAAATCTGCTAGTTTGTTGAACCATTTCTGTCTTAGGGTTGAGTCATTGTCTGGAAGGAGGTATGAGACTTTCATTGTTCACCGTTTGCTTCATCTTGTTTCTTGTGATGAAAAAACTTAGGGCCACTTTGGGCATCTTCATGTTTTTGTTATGAAGACTACAATGGCGATCTTAGAAAGCTCTTTCATGGAACTCAAAATGTAGAATTTCAGAGTAGTTTTTCTATTTGTTTCCAGCAGAAAATAATAGAGCTTATCCCCCTTTTAGAGTTCAGGTCGTCTCAACATGATTTTTACAATCACCTTGTCAATGCAAGGCCACAGTTGTCAGACAACAGAAGGGAAATAATATTCCCCCAAAGCTATGCAGTTGGGAAACAAACTTTGACTACAGTGGATGGTGATAAAAGAAGAGCTCTCCTGACAGCTGTGGGGGAGGTTGAGAGGGTGTTTGTCTTGAAGCGACTTGTTCATCGTCGAACTATAATCCACTCACAGGATTACAAAGTAGTAACAAGGCGAAATAGTTACAGTTTCCTTCCATGGTGGTGTTAACAGCGCCAGTTTAAGATATGGATGGGTTTTGACTTCCATCAAGTGTCTTATGAAATGCAGAAACCCTGTGTTTTGTAATTCAACTTGTTTGTGCGAGACACCTAAGTATCTGGCCCTTTATTCATGAGCTTAAAACAGCAGGCAATGTTAGATTATCAGCTGACAGGTATACCAATGCGACAGCAAGTCACACTGTACCTTCCATAAGGATAGTGGTAGGATTGTCGGAGTACAGATTGAAAATCTGAATTCTTTGTGCTTAACTGTGGACTGTGGCATGGACACATTATTTGTGTGCAATTTTCCAAATGCTTTTGAGAAAGACTAAGAGTTTATACAATGAAATGCACCACCTGCTTTGGAGACCATCAACTTTTGAGGAGTGCGGATGGGTGATCAGTTGATTTGGTTTGAGCAAGACATTTTTCCAGCCCACTACTGTGACCAAGTTTTTTTTAGTATTTTTCGCATGACTTGACTATTAACTCAGTCCAATATGTTTTTGTTCCAGATCTGTTTGCATGATATATATAGATGTATTTTTTTTTTAAATCACCCAACCCCACCCCCCAAAAAGTCAAATGGTCGGTTTATTAACTCAGCATCCTCCTTAGTCCTGTAATTGATAACGGTGGAGGTTCTTGTATGCCCCTTTCAATTCAGTTCATCCACTTTAAGTAGTCAAATGAACTCATAACACAAAGAAAATTTCAAAGTATAAAGCAAAAGTCAAGGGTCAAAGTGAAGGCCATTGATTCCATTGCATAGTTAGTACTCTGTTGGTGAGTATCCCAAAGGATCAACTAAAGCTGTACCATACTCAAATTGGCTGCCTTTGAGGTTTCATTCAAAATTCATGACAAGTATCCCTACCCTTTTTGCATGGGAGTCGTCACTGTCCTCCCCCTTGGTTTAGATGTTCATAACTTTTGAGGCCTGAAGTAGGAGAGTAAACTATTGTAATTGTGTTTAGTTAACAGTTATTCAGCTTTACTTTTGTGATGATGCTTTAAAATTTGTTAACGTAAGGATTTCAGAGTTTTGACTGGGACATTCATTGAGGTCCACATGTAGTGTAGGAGAGTGTTAAAATTGCTATGAAATTAATTATGCATTTACAAAACAAAGATAAACTGTTTGCGTTTCTACTGTTTTTTGTTTTTCTCTCTTGAATCCTTTCTTGAACATTGCACAGGGTTGTGCTCTAGCAGCACCCAGTGGCCCCTGTTGCATACCATAAAGATAATGAAAGCAAAATAATAATTGTCACAACTTTATAGTTCACTAATGATGCAGTATCAGAAGTCTTTATTGTCAAAGGTGTACCACATTATCCATCTGTTAGAAGAAATAAAATAAAGGAAAAGATTATAGTGCCCTTCAGTAATTTTTTTTATCTTTTCAAACCACATAGCTCCATTGTTGTTGACAGCTGTTCCATTTATGGAAGGGTGTCTCAGGCATGTCTTGCCAAGTCCACATCTTTTACATTGGACATTCACAATATGGTCAATTGACAGCTGTCAAAGCAGGATAGCCACTAACCATTCTCCCATAACCATATCGCGGGCTCATCTGTCAACTCATTGAGGTGACGTGATTTATTTGGAAGCTGTCCGCTAACCAGTTAATTATTTTACTAGATTGCGATCAGTGTTCAGTCTCATACTTTCTAGCTAGTTTGGGATAGGAGCACAGGAAAACTGATACACGTCAATGTTGTGATCCATTGACAGCTGTCAAAACAAGGTATCTGCTGACCAGTATCACTTGACTGTATGACGGGCTCAGGTGTCGACCCATCGAGATCAAGTGTTTTTGTGAAGTTATCCGCTGACAAGGTATTAGTTTTCATGATCGCAGGCTCAAGTTTAATTTTTTTTCAAATTCATATGAAATATACTGTGTTTGTGCCGCACAATTAAAATTTTGATTTCAAACTGACCTCCGACGTGAAACTTCAGCCAGCTGCTACAGGCAGGGAAGACAGTTGCTTTTGACTTTTCTCAGCATGTTCACGCGTTGGTCACACTCTACGTCCAATTTTTATGCTCTGATTGGTCAAAATTTGACAGGTGAGTTCATGTGGAAAATTTATCCAGCATCTTGAATCTTGTTTACTTTGACAGCTGAAGCTGACAGAGTTTTGTGTCAACTTGTGATGTTTTTAACTTATTTTTTCCATTGGATGTACAAAATGAAATTCAGCTGCTATCAGGAGTCTTCTGTTATTCATGGCTAATTTGTTTATTGGGTTTTTGGTTGAGTCAAAGACGGAAATCCGATTTCGGATGGCATCATTTTCGTTTTCATCTTGCTTAATGCGCAAGAGGGTTGCAAAGTCTGAAGCGATACTGGCCTTACTTGATACCTTTCAGGAGCTGCATCTCGAGTGGTAAGCCTAAGTAATTATTGTATTTGATGTTTGTTTTTTATTCCTAATTTAATGAAGTCGAGCCTCGTTTATGAAGCTATTTTGTTTGCGCACGTTTGTAAGATTTGAGACAATGATCTGACCGAGTATCAGGTTAATGTTATAAGCTCATAGATCTTTAAAAGGCCTTTAGACATTTTGTCACCGCGAATAGAAAGAAAACGTTTCAAAGAATATTTAGTTATAATTCTGGCTGTAAAAGAAAGGTTTGAGTGATTTTCTTGCCTCGAGTTCGTCTTTGAAAAAAGCAAACACTGGGAAGCTGGCTTAAAACATAAACTTCAGCTTTAAGCTCGAAGACTCAGGATTTTTAGAGACACTTTAATACTTGTCTTCCTGAATGAAAATTGTCGTCTCTGTATATGTTTCACAAAATTATATTTCTTTTATTGATTGTTAGTACTCTCTCTTGTAATTTTAATCGTTGTGCCGATTGTTTTCAGTCGTTCAGTAAACAACACTTCCCGGAGTACTCAAAATACCGCACGTTAAACCGTTTTAAAATAAAAAATAAACATAATAAATTCTTTATTATCTTGGAGCATAACTCTGTTAATGTTCATTCAAACACTCACCACTGCTAGCACTGTAAAAGTCAGAACCGGCTGACCGTATAGATGATTTTGAAAATTTTTTCAATGGTTTACGGCTAAAGCCCACGCGTGCTTCAATTATCCTGAATAGCAATTTGTATCGCAAAGTTGTGAAATACTGCATTCTGTAGTCCGAGGTCTGTATGATAAAAACAGCGCCTCATAGTACTGTTTCACCTCAGAAGTGATGTATAAAGGAATTTATTTGCCTGCAAATAAAAATGTTTATGTCACCTAGTCACGCAATGATTATGTTAGTTTGCTTAGAGGGGCACTTATTACTAGTCACGTATTCACCTTTAACATAGGTAATCGGCAGGGAAGAACTGTGAGCAGGGTCCAATTTGACACAAAATACTCAAGTATTGATCACATGATTATCACGAGATCAATCAGAAAATTACTACCCGGGAAATCACTAGCTGGTAAATTACTTGCCGGAATATTACTTGCTGTAAAACTACTAGTCATGAGCTTGTTCGGAAAAGTACTGAGCCTCGACCTCATTTAAGGTTAGGGTATAAGACAAGCTGTGTTCCCCAAAGTCTACCTCTTGGTCTCCAGACGTAACAAGCTTTTGCGAACTTGACAGCTGCCCACCTCCATCCTTCACTTCCTGAGTTGAGTATATCTTTCTTGTTGTTTTTTAAGTTAGTCATGTCTCCTAAACCCCATGTTCTCATTATGGGCCACTCCTTTGTCCGTCGTTTTGAATTATTTTTGTCTAAAGGCATAGACGCAAGGGTACGACGGGATCTTAACTTGTCCCGTTCCGCGCAGATAACTTTTCTCGGAGTTCACGGTCGCACTGTCGACAAGCTATCTAAATTTGATTTACATTTAGTAAGGCGCCTACAACCCCAAATTGTGATTTTGGAGATAGGTTCCAACGACCTTTCCCCACCGGACGCTAGGAACGAGGTGGTAGGTTCGAAGATCGAGACCCTCGTTCAGCATTTACACGCTGAATGCCGAGTTGAAACAATAGTAGTTTGTCAGAACATTAACCGCGCTGCAGGTTTGAGGGATCCACCCTCCTTCAACGATCGTGTGGCCCTTCTCAACCAATATCTCAGTGTGGTGCTGGAGACCCTACCTTTTGCTGTTTTCTGGCATCACAAAGGACTTCGACAACCCACCGTTTGCATTTTATGCAGAGACGGGGTACACCTTAATGCCAAAGGGCAATATGCTCACTATCAGAGTTACAGGTGTGCTATTCTATCCGCTATTAAGCTCAGTTGCCTTCCAGCCGCGGGTCGCGCTCCCAGCTTAAATTAGGTCCTTTTTTACACCCACACTTTCTTTTGTCTTACATGTCTAAATAGACTGTTTGTATATGTTTACTGAGAACTCTATGAGTTCCCAAGCTTTGCGGCAGAAAGCATGTTCCTTGCGGCAGCTATCATTATTTGGGCTTGCCAAACATGTTGCCGTTTTTCTTATATATTACGGTTCGCTGGAAGCGTTCTTTCTATTATTATTTTTTAATTTAATTTTATTTACTTTTCGTTTTTCTTCTGTTTTGTTATGTGATCAAAAGTGGGGTATGGACCTGCTTTCTTCAGCCAACGCGCACATACCCGCAATTTTTCTGGTTCGCATCCACGGGTTACTTTCCTTGCTACACATAAGCTGTTTTTGTTTTCCAGTCAATATGATGACTCGCCGGCAATCTCGTGCTGCCCCTACCGTACCTCCTGCACCACGCCCACAGAAGCGTGCTGCCCCGGCCACGCGAGAAACTCACAAAGCAAAGAGGTCAAAATCAGCTGCCCGGGCCACAGTTTCTAATACGGACAGCCATCCACCCGCCTCAGAACATCCCTCCCAATTGGTCACTGTTCCAATTGCCGGCAACGACGCAGCCCCTGCCCTGGTGGACATTGCTGCCATAGTCTCAGAAGCTGTGCTAGGAGGACTTCAAGCAGCCGGCATACTCCCTCAAGCACAGGAGACAGATGGTTCGAACACCACTCCGGCTGCTGCTGTACAGGGGTCAGTAGCGGCCGTAATCCAGGACATTACCAGTGAGAGACCTCCTCCTACGAACCCGTCGACTATAAGTACCAGCCCGCTATCAATAAATAGCATAGCTCAGTCTAATGGCCAGCCCCAGCTGATTCATCATTAAATCACTGTACCTCTCGCCTCCAGGGTGTCTGATAAAATTCGTTAAAAAATTTGGGCAAACGAGTATATTGATTTAGGGACCCTATTGCAAATAGCATCCCAAAACCAGTCACAGTACAATTTTGTTGTTCAAACGCAACACTCTTCAGATCGGCCGGTGATTAGCCTCAAGCCAGCACAGAAACCTAAGAGAATTGCCAATATAGACCAATGGATATCAGCCTTTCAAACATTTGTAGCTATTTATACCGTCCAATCACCGACTGACGCCCCAGCTTTAATGAAATATTCCGAGACAGTGCGGGACCTAGCGGCTAAGAACGCCCATTGGCGTTATTATGATGAAAACTTTCGCTTTTTGAGGCAAAAAACTCTTTTCCCCTGGGACCAGATCCATTGGGAACTGTGGTTGCAGGCGCACCACATGCAAAAGTCCCCTACGGTAGTTTCCTCGGACTCACGCAACAGGCCTACAAGGTGGCCCTTTCCGTCCGGCCTTTGCTGGAGATTTCACAGAGGGGAGAAGTGTTCCGGCTGTAAACACGAATGCTTTTGATGTGGATCTCATCATCCAGCCAACCAATGCCACTTTCCCAAGCAACAGGCAAACTCCACCAAAGCTGTACCGCGACCGAAATCCACAGCAGTCACCGCAAATAACTGAGCCCCTACCTCCCGCACTGTCTCGTCCATTGGCAACGCCAATCAAAATAGATAAATTACAGGCCTATCTGGAGGGCTACCCTCCTCGATCTCGGCAATACCTCATCGAAGGTTTCCGTTTTGGTTTTTCTATTGATTATGTTGGTCATCGCAGTAATTTTGTATCCAAAAATCTTTTGTCAGCCTCCACTAATCCTAAGGCGGTAGATGAAAAATTAGCTAAAGAAATTCAGTTAGGAAGAATTGTCCTTTCGATGGACAGCCCTTTCCAGTCTTTCATGTTTCTCCTTTAGGCTTGATTCCTAAAAAGGTGCCAGGGGAATTCCGCCTAATTCATCGCTTGTCCTTTCCAGAGAGGAAGTCAATTAATTCCCATATCCCGCAAATTGCTTCTAGCGTCCACTACGCTAATATTGACGATGCTATCAGGCTAATTCGACGCACAGGCAGGGGCTGTGCGCTAGCGAAGACCGATATCAAAAATGCTTTTCGGCTGATTCCGGTCAGCCCCTCTGATTACAATTTGCTGGGGATTTGCTGGCGTGATCGATTCTATGTTGATAGAATTAAGAAATGGTAAACGTGCAGCGTGCAACCATGGAGTTATGGATGCACGCAGGAGGTTGCTAAGCACGAAAGAAGCGTAAGAGTCGCCTCGTGCGACTCTAGCTTCTTGAGTGCTTAGCAAACCTCCCAAGTGCATCCATAACTCCATGCTTGCACAGCTGCAACGTTTACCATTTCTTTTATAACATAATCAAAAGAGAAAAACATTGTTTTCCATTTGCCTTCAGTTGAGTCATCGGTCGGAGTTCATGTATGCTGCCATCTGCCTGCGCGTAAACAAATCATGTTCTATGTTTTTCAAAAACTTGCCTTTGAGTTTTTCTTTCGCTGAATCAGCCATTCTCCGTCTTCAGGTAAATTGTAAAATGTTTTTGGTTGTTATTGAGAATGGCATCTGTCTACTTGCTATTAATATTAGGGTAAAAACTTTGAGGGAAAACCATATCTGCAACTATAAACACCAACTAAAAAGACTCTAAAAAATAAGCTAAAACTATATAAATGAAATAATTATCAAGCTTATTTATGTGACAATTTTTGAAATAAACGTAAAGTAGAAATGAGAAAATTTGACAGTAATTCCTTTAGAATAACAGGTAACACTAATTTTAAAACGAAATTAACTAGCTTTGTATCGAAATCTGTCTGGGGAAATCCAGCTATGAAAGTCAACTGAAATTCGCCGACACACAGCCGGCGCTGAAGCTGTTGTTTTTCGACTGTTCCCTGAACGGCTGTTATGAATGAACACTGAGGAACAAAATAATACACACAGAAGTTATTTTTTGAAAAATTTATTTGAAAACCTAAATGTTTCTGTACTCAAATGAAATTCGCTTATTCCAGCGTTATTTGCCCGTTTAAACTCAACTAAAATTGTTAATCGATGCGATGAAAACTTCACAACAAAGCTGTCTCGAATTTGAGCGTGTTTCCTAAAATATTTGCTTGAATTTAGCATCAGCTTGACCAAAAAGTCAATAACACAATGGTAATTGATAAATTTACATTTCAAACAGACTTTCTCCTCTATAAAAAAACACACAAAATGTACCTTAAATCTTCGCTCGCTCGATTTTCCTCCAGCCGATTCTAGCCGCGAGGAAAACAGTGATTAATTCATCCAGGGCAAATTTGTCGCTTGATCTTTTGTCTTTTTTCCTTCAAAACGACAGCATAGTATTTTCTTCACCTTCCACTTTTCATCTGTGCATTTCATTGGTGTATTTTACCGTCAGGAGAGGAGATTTGTTGAATTTGCCTAAATTTTACCTCGCTAGCTCAGTTTCTTAGTGTGCATCCACGGCCAAATGGTAGTGGCTAATTGACCAATCAGAGCGCGCGATTTACTTTTGTTATGTTATAAATCTTGCTATGGGGCTTTCCAGTTCTTGCAAAATATTTCAGTGTTTCAGTTCCGGTCTGGAGTGGATTGCTCGCTTTAGGTTACATATACCCGGCATATTACATTTGTTAGATGACTTTCTGATCGTCAGCAAATTGCTTGCATCGTGCGCTAATGATCTGCAAGTTTTTCTCAAAACGTGTGATGAATTGGGCGTTCCAATGGCTGCCGAGAAAACAGTAGGCCCTAGCTTCGTGTTGTCATTTGCGGGTATTGAACTTGATACACAGAACATGGAAGCACGGCTCCCTAGCGACAAACTTACTAAATGTCGTGACTCTATTCAACACTTCCTTTGTCGGAAAAAGATAACTTTAAGAGAACTGCAATCCTTAATTGGTCTTCTCAATTTTACTTGTTCTGTCATAGTGCCCGGTCGAACTTTTTTACGCCGTTTAATTAACTTGACAGGCGGGGTTAAACGCCCTCAATATTTTATTCGTCTAAATCGGGAAACAAAATCTGACCTTAAATTATGGCTTAACTTTTTAGAATCATACAATGGCAAGTCTTTCTTTTTAGACTATAATTGGCTCTTGTCAGCCAAACTACATCTTTACACTGATGCAGCAGGTTCTTTAGGTTACGGTGCAGTTTTCGGCTCGAATTGGCTTTATGGTCAATGGCCTTCAAACTGGCTAGGTCGTAACATTATAGTCCTAGAGATGTTTCCGATCGTTATAAGTCTTTCAATATGGGCGTCAGAACTGGCCAACAAATGCGTCCTTTTTCACACAGATAATCTAGGTCTAGTTGATGTTATTAACAAGAAAACTACGAAAGATAACAAGCTAATTGTCCTCTTGTGTGAACTAGTTTTACAATGTTTGAAACATAATATTTTATTTCGGGCGGTCCATGTGCCTGGGGTGCTAAATGTCAAGGCTGACGCTTTATCGCGCTTACAGGTCACAAAATTCAAGTCCCTAGGACAGGGCATGGACCAGGAACAAACCTTAGTTCCACCACATCTTCTACTGGAGAGCTGGCCTCTGTAGCACAAACACTTCTGTCTGCTAGTCTCACTAAGTGTTCCAAGGACGCTTACAAGCGCTCATGGAGCTTATTCACGAGATGGGCTCAGTCCTTGTTAGGTAACAAAGTCTTATGCTTACCTTTACAGCCCGCGATTATAGTACTATTTGTTTCAAATCTTTATTCGCATAATTATGCTTCCTCCACTGTGACTACCGGTAGTTATTTATCTGCTATCGGCTATGCCCACAAGTTAGCAGGTGTGAATGATCCAACGGAAACTGCGATCATTCGTCAAATTCTTAAAGGTTATCGCAAGTTAGCACCAGTACGTGATGTACGTCTTCCTATTACACTACCAATCTTGCGGCAGCTTGTTGCCTCATTTCAGCACACTACAGAGTCAGCCTACCAGTTTAAGATGTTTTCAGCTATGTGCTCTATAGCCTTTTTTGCATTTTTACGTATCGGCGAGATAACAGTTAACGGAAGTGATCAGAGTAATCTGATTAAGCTTAATCAGCTTTCACGTTTAATGACGACCCAAGGGCAGGTCATAGCTCTTCAACTGACAATTTATAAATATAAGCACAGTAATAATGGGCGCCCATTTGTTATTGACATCTTTCAAGAAGAATCTGGTTGCCCGGTCAAAGCTGTCTTAGCGTTTATTTCTGTTAGAGGGGTCACCAGTGGCCCCCTGTTTTGCTGGCCGGGCGGGGCGCCAATAAAAAGATCAATTTTTGTGGAACAACTTAATAGGGCTCTTAGATTTTGTAATCTTGACCCTACCTTGTACAAAGCACACAGTTTTCGCACAGGTGCAGCCACTTGGGCTGCTGCTAAGGGTCTGTCTGACGCACAAATTCACCAGTTAGGACGATGGAAGTCCAATGCATTTTTAAGCTATATTCGTACACCTAGTTTGTCTACACATGCAGCTAGTTCATGAGTAATCTGTCCTCAAGCAGGTGCTGAGAAACTGTTTACTCTTCGGCTTTTTCTGGGTCATCCGTCTTCGGGTGGGGCAAGCCTCCCTACAGGAGGCTTGTGGCCCTTTTTCTCCGCCTTCACCTTTGCCAGAGCGTAAAAAATCAAATAATCATAGCTAATTAAATTTGTTTGAAGATGTTATATTTAATCAATAAATCGGCCATCTTACGTGGCCAAAATTATACCCAAACACATCATTGTCTCTTGTTTCTTTAAGCGCTCTTGCAGATATAGCTCGACTGATGACCCCAGAATTTAAAGGTTCTCTTTATAATAAGGGTATAAAGGACAAGCGGGCAAGGAGGCATAAATGATATAAAAGGTTGGTTTACACGCACCGAGATTTGTTGGCAAGATTTTGTAAAATAAACTTGTCAAACGCAAAAAATTCGGCCGGAATTTTTTTTCCAGGCCTAATTAATCTACGGTGATCAAGAGCCATTATGGCTCATAACATAAATGTCATTGAAGATGATTACCAGTTTTTGGGTGTACTTGTGAGGCTATCAACTCGATGTGAGATTTGGTTCACTCCTTGGCTGTTTGTAAATTATTTTTTGTAAAATCACTTAGCCTTTCCCTGAAAAGTCACTTTAATGTGCTCTAAAATTAACTGAATTGTGGAATACAAGTTTATTGTTTCATTTAAATTATAAATTTATTAAAGGGAGCCTCGCTTTTAGCCCTGGCTAAATTTATATATTATTCTTGTTACTTAATCAACAACATAGGATCTTCCCAAGGTTGCAATAAAGACATTTCCATATTATATGAGAATGGCACTAAAGATGAAACTCTTCCTTGTACGTATTGTTCTTGTGCTGTAATAATCATGCAGTACAAAAGCAGTATAATCTTTGGACCGATTTGATCACGTACATTTCCAGTACAGACTTATTCTTGTGCTCACATGACGCAATTTAAGTACGTAGTCGACTGTAGCACAGTAATGGTATACTGGAATTGTACTTTTTTGGGTCAATTTGTGGAAGTACATGTCAATTATAGACCATAGTAACACTTGTTAGTGTGCAGTAGGTTTACAGTATACTGTAAATGTAGTCATTTGGGTTAGTACAGAATTAGTATGCTTGCAGTATGCTAAAAGTACACTTTTGACATTCTTATTTCTACAAGGGTACCTCCAGCCCTAGCCTCGACTGATACTGAGAGCATTATTGACTCTGATCACTGACTGACAATGAGCTGTGACAATAACATTTAATAACCAGTTTCCATCACCAAAAACTTTCTTTGTTAACAGTATGTTTAATCTATTAAAAATATGTTTTTGTTGTGTTATTTTGTGTCAAGTTTAAAGGCGATTTTTGGAATTTTGGACGGCCATGGTGGGCAACAAGTGGGCGATTTCGCCAGGAAAAACTTATGGCACATTATAAAACAACAGAAAGGGTTTTATTCTGAAGACAAAGCCCAGATCATCAAGGCCATTAAAGCAGGTTTTGTTAATGTTCCATTGGAAATGTGAGAATACAGAGGTAAGTGAACTTGTGGTAGTTGTCTTTTGTTTGACCTCGGCGCTCTTTGTACCACTTGACTTGCTTTTTTCAATTCGTTTCCCAGACCAAAAGGAAAAGGAAAGGTATCAAACGAAAGTTAGCCAGAATGTAAAATGCGAAACGTGTTCCCGAGAGTCAACCTTGATAGCATCATAACTGCCAACTCTCCCGGTTTTCCTGGGAGTCTCCAAGTTTTTCATGACATCTCACGGTCTCCCGGTTAGAGCACCAAATCTCCCGGGAAATACCTACAGCATGGCCTTTTTCAAAATTTTTTCATTTATTTCGTTATTTTTGAGGTGTCAAAAAGGAAAATAAAACAAGAAGTGGATTTGGTGCTCTTATTTGAGCTGGTCTCAATTGGAAAACGTAAAACAACCTAAAACAGAGCAAGCAAATTGATATATATTAAACGATTAGCGTAATTGGTCAGAAATCAACCAATCAAATTGCGTAATGCATGGTAGAAAGTTGGGGCGGTTTTCGTACGCGGTTATCTATGTCGGGAACATTCGGAAGGCCTTCAGGTGATTTTCGGAGAGCATTCAGACATTGTCGAAAATGACATTGAAAAGATTTCTAGACGTCTCCAGATTTTTGTACTCCAGGGGTTGTCAGGTATGTAGCATGGATGTGACTATTGCAAAGGAAGACATTTTAATTTTTGTATTAGTAAGTTTCCCGAGGAGAGAGGCAAAGGTTTTTGCACAGAACAGTCAAGTCAGATAAGCGATTCTCAGAAATTACTAAAGCCTACATTTTTTATTCACTAAGACCAGCCCTAGCCTCGACTGATAGTGAGAGCATTGACTCTGACTCTGATCACTGACTGACAATGAGCTGTGACAATAACATCTAATAACCAGTTTGCAACAAAAAAATTTTCTTTGTTAACAGTATGTTTAATCTATTCTCACTGGGGCCATCTCGTACAAATGCCCCAGATCTCTTCAGGATTCAAGGATAAAAATTCCCGTGCGCTCGTAGTCTCCTACGTGTTCTGTTTCACACAGGTTTTGTATAAATAGGCCTGTTTAATTCTCTTTTAGTTAAACGTTTGCCAGTCATTAGCTTGGTGTTTTTTCTCTTGCCCGGTCATTGCTGTGCCACCTTCGAAGATTTTCTTCGTTCTTCGTTCTCCATGCCAGACCAAGTCCCTGTTGTTCCTGCGGATGGGGCTGTTGCAGCGGCCGTTGGCCCTCCAGTTGTCGCGCCTCCGACTCTAGCCGACGCTGACGGTGACAACGCACAGAATGCTAATGACAACGTGGTTCCTGTGCCCCAACCTGCGGCTTAGGAGGTTAGTGTTTTCTCTTGTCCATGTATTCGTTTTCCTTCCCAGGTTTTTTGGGCTAGGCATTGTTGGTCTTTTAGCTTGGTTCTCGCTTGTGTTATTAGTGTTAGTTTTTGCGTTTGTGCTACTATTTTATGTTCGCGTCTGTGTTACAACTTTAATTTTGGCCTCTGTGTACCAATTTACTTTTCGCGTCTGTGTACAACGTTAGTTTTCTGTCTGTGTGGCAAGTTTAGTTTTCGCATCTCTGTTTCAACTTAGTTTTCCGTCTGTGTGACATATTTTCGCGTGTGTGACAAATTTTGTTTTCCGTCTGTGTGACAAGTCTGTGTTGCAAATTTAGTTTTCATGTCTGTGTGACAAATTTCGCTGTGTCTGTCTGTGTTATAACTTTAGTTTTCCGTCTGTTAAAAGTCTGTGTGACAAATTTAGTTTTCACATCTGTGTGACAAGTTTGGGTTTCACGTCTGTGTGACACATTTAGTTTTCGCGTCCGTGTGACAACTTAAGTTTTCCGTCTGTGTGACAAATTTAGTTTTCGCATCTGTATGACAAGTTTAGTTTTCCGTCTGTGTTACAAGTTCGGGTTTCGCGTCTGTGTGACAGCCTTAGTTTTCGCGTCTCTGTGACAACTGTAGTTTTCCGTCTGGGTGAAAAGTTTAGTTTTCGGGCCTGTGTGACAAATTTAGTTCCAGCATCTGTGTGTCAACTTTGGATTCTGGTCCGTGCGACAAGTTTAGTTTTTCCCGCCTGTGTTACAAATTTAGTTTTCCAGTCAGTGTGACAAGTTTAGTTTTTGCATCTGTGTACAAATTTTGTTCTCTCCTCTGTGTTACAAACTTAGTTTTCTCGTCTGTGTGACGAATTTAGTTTTGTCGTCTGTGTGGAAAATTAAGCTTTCTCGTCTGTGTGACAAGTTTAGCTTTCTCATCCGGGTTACAAGTTTAGTTTTCGCACCTGTCTGACACATTTTAGTTTTCGCGCCTGTGTGACTAATTTAGTTTTCGTGTCTGTGTGACAAGACAGACAGCAGTCAATTGGAATCGTCAGAAAGTACAGAAAGCAACGACGACGAAGATGAAGAGAAGGATGCGAAACCAAATAAAA